ACTTACTGTCTCCCCCTAACCCGTTTGCTTTCTCTGGAAATCCGGTCAGTTATGCTTAATGACCAGCTGTTATCCTGTCTGCGCGCTACATGCTTGGCCCATGTCCATTTCTTCTTCTTGATTTCAACTATGATATCCTTAACCGCGGTTTGTTCCCTGATCCACTCTGCTCTCTTCTTGACTCTTAAGGTTACAACTACTACTTTCCTTTCCATCGCTCTCTGCGTCGTCCTCAATTTAAGCTGAACCCTCTTTGTAAGCCTCCAGGTTTCTGCTCAGTAGGTAAGTACCGGCAAGATGCAGCTGTTATATACCTTCGTCTTGAGGGGATAGTGACCATCTACCAGCCATGAGCTGAGAGTGCTTGCCGAATCTTCTCCACCGCACTCTTATTCTTCTAGTTATTCTTCAGTCTCGTGGCTCGGCTCCGCAAGTACTACCTGTCCTAAGTAGACGTATATACCTTTACCAACTTCAAGTGCACTGCCACCTATCTCGAAGCGCTGTTTTCTTTCGAGGTTGTTGTTCATTACTTTCGTGTTCTGCCAGTTATTTTGTAAATTCCAAGAGAAGGAAAGCGGGAAAGGGGAGACAAAGTTTGGTTGGCAGATGAGATTAGGAAGTTTGCAGGTATGAAGTGGCAACAGCAAGCAAAGGACCGAGTTGACTGGCGGAACAGGGGAGAGGCCTTTGTCCTGCTGTGATGTTGATGTGTATGTGAATGTAAAAGTACGTGATTGAGTGCGCCTGAGTATGGGTAGGCGTAGGTATGAAGGTGAATTCTTATGTAAGTGCGGAGGTGAGTGAGGGCCTATGATTTTGAGCAGGCGTTAGTATGAAGGTGAGTGAGTAACTATGAGTCTTAATTGAGGTGCATGAAAAATTGAAGTACAAAAAGGAGACACCTGAACACGGCGCGCTGTCTCGACGTGTCTCCCTTTTTGCTTTAATTTTTGCGCACCTTAGTTAAAATGAATTACCAACTCGCCCAGCAGTCCGTGTTTCTCTAAGAGTGTGAGTAGTCATGAGTATGAACGTGAGCCATGAGCAATGAGTGTGAGTAGGCGTGAGTATGAACGTGAGTGACTGTGAGCAGGCGTGAGTATGAACATGAGTGAGTCTCATCAGTGTGAGTAGTCGTAAGTATGAACGTGAGTTAGGGCCTATGAGTGCTAGCTGGCGTGAGTATTAATGTGAGTAAGTACTCACAAGTGTGAGTAGTCTTGAGTATTAAATGAGTGAGTACTCATCAGTGTGAGTAGTCGTGAGTATGCACGTGTGTGAGGGCCTAGAGTGTGTGTTGGTGCAAGTTTGAACGTGAGTGAGTACTCATGAGTGTGAGTAGGAGTGAGTATGAACGTGAGTGAGTACTCTGAGTATGAGTATAAGTGAGTATGAATGTGAGTGAGTACTCTGAGTATGAGGATAAGTGAGTATGAACGTGAGTGAGTACTCGTGAGTATGAGTAAGAGTGAGTATGAACGTGAGTGAGTACTCGTGAGTATGAGTAAGAGTGAGTATGAACATGAATGAGTACTTTCAGTGTGAGTAGAAGTGAGTTTGAACGTGAGTGAGTACTCATGAGTGCGAGTAGGAGTGAGTATGAACGTGAGTGAGTACTCTGAGTATGAGGATAAGTGAGTATGAACGTGAGTGAGTACTCGTGAGTATGACTAAGAGTGAGTATGAACGTGAATGAGTACTTTCAGTGTGAGTAGAAGTGAGTTTGAACGTGAGTGAGTACTCATGAGTGCGAGTAGGAGTGAGTATGAACGTGAGTGAGTACTTTGAGTGTGAGAAGGAGTGAGTATAAATGTGAGTGAGTGTGAGTAGGCTTGAGTACGAACGTGAGTGAGGGCCTATGAGTGGGAGTAGACGTGAGTACGAACGTGAGTGAGGGTGAAGGCTGAAAAAATTGTGGTGAGTGAGTATGAGTGAGTAGTCTCTCAAAGTGCCGACCTATGCTGGCGTGGCAGATATACATTCGAATTCACGGATTTAGTCAAAGGATTTGCCAGATGCAAGAAATGCTAATGATGTATTTATAATTGTTCGCTCAGTTGGTTGACTTAAAATACTATATTATTGAAATAGCAGTGCTCGTGTTTACGTAGCACGATTTGGGTTATGTTGCATTGTTTGCACATACTTTTCTTTTTCTAAATGTAAGCCTTCTTTTTTGACATACTCCAAATTTGGTTTTTGGCATAAAAAATAGACATTTTATTTCCCAACACCTGCTCCATATTTCATTTTAGTTGTCCAAAAGTAAGCTTTAGCTGCTCCGAAAATCGCTCAAAATTTTATTTTGGCTGTGACACTTCTGAAAGCATGATGTTTGATTCATTATACATGTTTCATTTGTATTTGAACAAAGCCATACTGTAAACATGTAGTACATCTTGTATGCACTTCCTAACTTTCTATGCCTATAGTTCGTGAAAGTCATTATGTTGGTGCAAAAGTGACTTAGGCTCTACTAGCTAGCCGCAGTTGTCAGAAAATTAATGGCAAACGCGGCATTGTGCAGAACCTATTGAGAAATGCTGAATTTCTGCAAAATGTCTGAATGAATCATCTTCTGAATTCAAGACAAGGTTTTGAGGTATGTGCTGTTTATCTGTAGTGATCCCATGCGATGCCATACAGCACTGTCGTGTTTGAACAAGAACCATTGAATAAAATGCAGTTTGTAAGAAACTCGCAGTAGGAGCAGTTGTGCGTCATGCAACATAGAAAACCCGGAAAACAGTGCAATGTTTATTACATTTTTAACCTGATAGTATTAATGAGCTCGTTTTGCAGAAATTATACAGCGGCGGCGGTGTCATTGATTGTAAGCGAAAAATTATCATCTTTGTGTGACTGAAAAATCGAGAGAGATGCAAATAAAATAAATAATATGAAAGTTCTGGCTCAGAGTGGAGATCCAACCGGGGTTGTTTGTGTGGCAAGCGGATGTTCTACCACACAGCCATGCATCTGCTTGTGGGTGCAGTGAAAGAAACTTCCTCTGTTTAGAAATGCAGTGAAAGTAACTTTTATGCTTTATAAACACATGCATCCTGTATGCATGCTTCGCAATACAACATGAAATATTTTCGTAATAATGTGTAGTACAAGCAGTTTAAAGCCAGTCACTCACTAAAAAAGGCACTCACGCTACTGCACTATTAAGGCCAGGTAGTGGGTGCATAGCAAGTCCGAGAAAATTTTACACACTAAGTATTTGAAATAAGCAGGAGGAACAGAATACTATTTATATCACGTTCAACTCCTAAAAGCGCAGTTTAAGGGTCCCTCAATTTCTGTACATTGCCGTCGAAGTTTCATAGTATGTACAACCAGGTGGAGTTGTACCTCTATCTACGTAGCTTCATGTGCACAAAAAAAGTCACAGCTTTGCCACAAAGGCAAAGCAATGAACCTAATAGCAACGAATTGGAAGGTAACGTGAATAATGGCAAGCAGATCGAAATGTGCTCCGCGTTTCTCGCACACAAATGACGCACGGAAAGTACTCACAGGTGCAGATGAGCGCGAATAAGCGTCTCAGCTAATACTTCGCTGTGTCTGAAAAGCGCGCCCTTTTTGCAAACAAAGATTTTGCAACAAGTGCAGTGACCTTCATGCGCCCGGTAACTACAAATGAATCGCTCCTGAAAGCCCAAGGCGTACGAATGTCCTCACCACGAAATAAGTGAGCGCATGCGAGATCGTCCACCGTGCCCCCTCTCCGCGGGGCAACGTATGCGTGGGAGATGAGAGCGCGCGTCGTGACGATCTGGCGTCGCGCGCTTATTGCTCCACGTCACTGGTAATGGTGAAAACAAGGTAGTTCCTTTCCCGAGATGCCCCTCACCAGCGGTGAGTGGTAGATACAAATAGCTTGCCTTTGAATGTTAAAGCAGGTGTTTCTTCGTGGCTCAGTAGCTAACATTTCGCACTCGCTATTCAGAGGTCAGTGGTTCGATTTCGTGTGCCGAAGTCTCTTTCTGGATTATTTTTCTTTCTTTCATTTTCATATATATAGATACGTATACATATATGGTGAATGACGGTGACGTCCATGTCGACGTAGACGCTGGTCGCAAAACCCAGCCGAGAGTGTCCATATAATTGCTATCGCAATAAAATCTAAAGCAAAAAAAGCAAGTGATTGAGCAAGCTCACAATGTGTAAAAGGTAGCGACTGCAATGTGATTGGACCAAACAAGTTGCAAGTATGAAATCTGCAAATATGGTAATCTAGGCTTGTGCAAATAGGCTTCTAATATTCAAACGAATAGTACTCTATTCGTTGTGAAAAATTTCAATGTATTCGAAATGAAGGAACAGCTGTGTTTTACAGGGTTTTTTTGTAAAGGTGGTTTCACTGCAGTGAGGAGGTGCTAACCCATGAAAGCATATATCTAAATGTATGTTAACTCGCATGTAATTTTTTGTAAGGGTGCTTTCACTGCTATGAAAGAGCGATAAACCGTGAGAACACCCATTCAGGGAAAATCTGCACTCTTGTGAAGTCCCACTTCAAAGTTAAATTAATTAATTACTCCTGTGCCGATTTATCGTTTTCTAAGTTCAAAAGCTCACTATATCGGCTTACTTGCTTGAAGCTATAGTGAATTTTAAAATATAACATATTTTACAGGTTATTACGTGTGCTCTATCAAAAGTGAAAATCAGCTACTATTCAAAGTTTTTGCCACTTCTTTTGAGCCCAAAAAGAATGCGTTTGCTACAGGTCCTTGTTTTCGATTTTTAGAAAAATATTGTGCAGGCTATGGGTCATGACAAATATGCCCTTTTTTCTTTATACTATGTGATACATACTATTTGCGTTTGACTTAAAATTATTGACCAAGGATCACTGTTCGCCTTGAATTTGCTTTGACCTTAAAATTCATTATTTGCACAAGCATATTGTAATCTTTTGAATTTGGTGTATTACGTAGTTTCTATTCTTGACCGCGCAGTATGTATTTGCACATGTGTTGCAGCTGGCCAGCCTCACGGTCAGTGTCCTGAGGGACTTCTGCAAACAAGAAGGCCTCCGGTGTCCATCTAAGAAAGCAGAGATCGTCGATTGCATCAAGAAGCACCTCAAGCTTTAGATTGTATTGCAACCCTGCTCAGTTGTTAATGCTGAATTCGACTGCGAGGAGGCCACTTTTCCAGTATTTAAAACGGCAGTAGAAAGATTGCTAAGGCTTTGAGAGCATTTCTAAGCCATCCTCGGAGCAGCTGTCATGCTTGGGCCATCGGTCATGTTCTGGAAACAGAAATAAATAATTGTAATGATTTTGGTGTCGTTATAAGACAAAAGAAGGACAATATGTGTGACTAAAGCAAGTACTGTCTTTTGTGTCAGTTTTCCCTAGTTATATTATAGTATGCCTTGCTTGCTGTTTAAAAGCAGTCAAACAAAAAAGTTGCTAAATGTCTCCAACATTGCCTACATAATGTCTGTAATATCTTATCTTACTACTTAGCTGCTTCATTTGCATATTCATTATGGGCATCTGTACCCAGTTCTCTTTGATCTTCTGCATCTTTTAGCAGAACGGTAATTGTAGCTGAATGGCAGTCTAATAGCACTTCCTTTGACTGAGTAAAGCAACATTAGCAGCAAGTTCAAGAACTGTGTTGTATTGTGAAAAGGAACTAACGAGCGTGGTGCTTGAAAAGGAAGCAATATACCTTGTATAAGAATTGGAAATTGCACTTGAAGAAAAAAAAAAGTGCTAGAGAAATTTATGCTTTGAATGGGCCTCTGTTAATTAAGTAACTGGTTTAATTGAATAACTCCACTTAATTTGACCCTAATATATTAATGCACACTATAAAATTTCATATTTGTATATTATAACAGAAATAGACAAGACCCTTTAGCAAATGGTGCACAGAATCTGTAAGCTGTCTAGCTTTTGGCAGTAGATTACATTTCATATTTAGCTGTGCCTCTGAAGATGTTATTTCTGTACCATGGGCGCCAAGAAAGTTTCATTGCTTCAACACACAGGGTACTAATCTTTATGTACACTGAAATTCTATTAAGGTTGTGTGCCTGAAGGTGATGCCACTTTCTGCATCTTCTGTTAAGAATTAACAGTGGCACATCTAGTTGTAAAACTGTCATTATGCAAGTCAACTTATTTAAATCTAATCATTTACAATGTTGGAATGCCTTGGTCCAGACAGGCTGAACTTGGCTACTTTCAACGCTAGAACGCTATCTAGTGAGGCTAGTTTAGCTGTGATATTCGATGAATCAGAGGGTGTAAAATGGGATGTAATAAGGCAAAGCAAAGTTAGGAGGACACGTGAGGCTTATACACTGCTGAAAAATGAACACATAATATGCTACCGTGGATTAGTTGACAGAAAAGAACTAGGGATGGGGTTTCTCATACACAAGATTATCGCTGGCAGCATAGAGGAATACTATAGCATCAGTGATAGGGTGGCAAGTATCATAATTAAGTTTAACAAAAGCTACCAGGTGACGGTGGTACAGTCCTACATGCCTACATTGAGGCATGATGATTATTTGGTTGAACGCTTCTATGAAGATGTTGAGTCAGCCATTAATGAAGTAAGGACACAGTATCCTATTCTGATGGGTGACTTTAATGCCAAAGTAAGCAAAAAACAGGCCGGAGACCGTGTAGTGGGAGAATATGGCAGCGGCTCTGAAACTGCCACAGGGCGAATTAGTAGAGTTCGAAGAACGTAATAATTTATGGATATAGAATACCTTTTTCACAAAACGGGCTAACCGTGAGTGAATATGGCAAAGTCATATTAGGAAAACTAAAAATGAAATGGACTTCATTCTGTGTGCGCACCCAGGCATTGGACAGGATGTAGAAGTAGTTGGCAAGATTAGATTCAATGACCATAAATAGTAAGAGCTCGTATACACCTAGATTTAAAAAAGCAAAGACAAAAAGTGATATGCAAGAAGCCAATTAATGAACTGGCAGTGAGAGGAAAAATATAGGAATTCAGAGTTTCGCTTCAGAATCGATTCAAGGCACTAAATTAGATAACCGACGTTAGCGTTGTCACAACGAAGGATAATCTTACTAGTATCATCAAAGAGTGTGCAATTAAAGTTGGAGGTACAGTCACTAGACAGGAAACTGGCAAACTATCTCAGTAGACAAAAAATCTTATTAAGAGACCACAAATGATGAAAGCCTCAAATGCAACCGACAAAATAGAGCTAGTGGAGCTTTCGAAGTTAATCAAGAGGGGTAAGGTAGCCGACATCATAAGGTATGACATGGAAAGAATTGAGCAGGCTGTAAAAAGCAGCAGAAGCCTAAAAGCTGCGAAGGCAGACTTGTGCATAGGCAAAACTCAGATGTATGCATTTAGGAACAAAGAAAACAGTCATAATCAATATCGTAATATAGTCGAGATGGCAAAGGAGTTCTACAGAGAGCTGTACAGAAGTCAAAAGAACCAGGATGATATTGTGAGAAACAATGATGGACCAGAAAAATTTGACATTCTACCAGTAACGACAGGGGAAGTGATGAAAGCCTTATAAGGAATATGAAGAGGCAAAAACTGCTGGTGAGGATAAGGTAACAACGGACCTCCTGAAAGATGGTGGAGAAATTGTGTTAGAAAAATTAGCCACCTTATATACAAAGTTCCATTTGACGGGAACGGTACGAGAATGTTGTAAGAATGCCAACATCACCATCATCTTAATCCATAAGAAACGAGACGTCAAGGACTTGAAAAATTACAGGTCGATCAGCTTACTGTTAATTCTCTACGAACTATTTACAAAAATAATAGCTAATAGAATTAAGGCGATATTAGAGTTCAATCAACCAAAGGACCAAGCAGGATTTCGTACCGGCTACTTCACAATGGGCCATATTCATACTATCAATCAGGTAATAGAGAAATGCGCATGAATATAACCAGCCCCTATACATAGCTTTCATAGATTACGAGAAGATGTTTGACTCAGTCGAGACATCAGCAGTAATTCAGGTACTACAGAATCAGGGCATCAGAGAACTCTACATAAACATACTGGAAGAAGTCTGCAAAGGATCCACAGCCATAATAGTTCTCCACGAAGAAAGCGACAAAATCGCAATAAAGAAGGGTGTAAGGCAGGGAGACACAATTTTTCCAATGCTATTCACCGCGTGTTTACAGGAGGTATTCAGGACCCTAGACTGGAAAGAGTTAGGGATGAGAGTTAATGGAGAGTACCTTAGTAACCTGCAATTCACTGATGATATTGTCTTGACGAGTAACTCAGGGGACAAATTACAGCTCACGATTACTGAACTGGACACGGAAAGCAGAAAAGTAGGTCTGAAAATTAATATTGTTCTCCTCTTCTCTCTCGGCTCATACCCGTTACAATATCCACAAAACTGAAGTAATGTGCAACAGTGTCGGTAGAAAACAGCACTTTGTGATAGGTGGAGAGACGCTGGAAGTCGTAAAAGAATGTCTACTTAGGACAGGTAGTAACTGCGGAGCTGAACCATGAGAGTGAAATAACTATAAGGATAAAGATAGCGTGGATCACATTAGGCAAGCACTCTCAAATCATGAATAGTAATCTGCCACTAACCCTCATCTTGCCAGTACTTACCTACAAAGCAGAAACCTGGAGGATTACAAAGAGGGTTCAGCTTAAATTGAGGACGACGCAGCGAGCGATAGAAAGGAAAATGATAGATGTAACCTTAAGAGACAAGAAGACAAGAAGAGAGCAGAATGGGTCAGAGAACAAACCAGGGTTAAGGATACCATAGTTGAAATCAAGAAAAAGAAATTGACATGGGCTGGACACGTAGCATGTAGGCAGGGTAACCGCTGGTCATCAAGAGTAACTGGTTAGATTCCCAAAGAAGGCACATGCACGAAGGGGAGACAGAAATTCAGGTGGGCCAATGACATCAAGAAATTTGTTGGTATAACGAGGCTACGGAAAGCAGAAGACTGGGTTGATTGGCGGATTATGTGAGAGGCCTTTGTCCTGCAGTGGGCATAGTCAGGCTGGTGATGATGATGATTATTTACAATCATAATGTGGTGGGTGCAGTGCTACCAAATACCACCTCCCCTAGCCATTGGAATGCATACCTGAGGGCTTCACTTTATTATAAATGTGTGGTACAATGTTTGAATGCGCTCTGAATTTGCAAACTTACAAGTTTCGATCACAGTAACGCTAGATTTATTTCGCGCACTCTGCTCTCACATAGCTAGTTTGGCTGGATGACTCCAAGTCAACACCACCTTTGTCACCCTTCCCAGATACTACATCATTATATGTGGGGTTTTAACGTCCCAAAACCACCATATATGGTTATGAGAGACGCCTTAGTGGAGGGCTCCTGAAATTTCCACCTCCTGGCGTTCTTTAACGTGCACCCAAATTTGAGCACACGAGCCTACAGCATTTCCGGCTCCATCCGAAATGCAGTCGCTGCAGCCGGGATTTGATCCCGCGACCTGCGGGTCAGCAGCCGAGTATCTTAGCCACTAGACCACTGCGGCGGGGCTCCGAGATACTACATCAAGGGTGTTACCAACATTGCCACTGTAGTCAACGATTGTTGCAAGTTGTAGATAAACCAGCGGTTTGTGATATTTATACCTTCTTGGCTATGTGGCTAAGTCACAAACAGTTTCACATTTTCCGTGGCAGCAGTGCAGTGCGGCAACATTCATTCTCGACAGATAATCGGGAGCTCACCCAACACTTTTTAAAAGTGCGAAATTCGAAAACGCAATGAAAATATTTTGCAAACTGCTGACCTGGAATTTCATATGCGAGAGCTGGATAGAATGTGCCTGCTGCATTCACAGTTAGTGTAGTGCCGGACACGTAGGACGCTCCTGGTGACAGCAGAAAGCAAATTGCCGATGATACCTTTTCCCAAAAAAGAAAAACAGAGGACTGCTTTGAGCTAATTGGGTGTCGCTAGTCAATTGACCGTGATGCTGTATATCACAAAATAGAGATTGGTAATAAGCTTGTTAAGATTCTTCCTGAATGAAAATAATTCATTCAATTGAGGTGGCATATTGGGCGGCAGAGTAATAACCTATTTCTTTTGTAATGAGTTGGCCCACTGCACATTCAATACTTCTGAAGCACGATTATGTTGAACGGTGCATTTATATAATACAAGCTTGTTGTGTAACTGCATTTGTTTTTTCTTAGGAGCCTACAACTACAGTCCCTACAGTGCTGATTGCTGTATATTCCTAAAGTGTTAACCATGTAACACTTGCCACGACTCAGGAGCACATACTCGCAGCGAACACTTTGGGAACTATTCTGCACATTTGTCAAGCTGCAACAATATTTCACTATGGTTTAATTGGTCATACATGACTACAGTATAACTGCATTTCAACAGACCTTTATAGGACTATTTTACGGGTGAGTTTGAGTACTGCTATATTGAGCTGTTATCCTTTACGTTCTGTATCTTTAACTAAATAAACAGTGTCACTGTAGACAGCATATACATGAAAATGGTTGGGTTAGTAATCGTGATGTTTCATGGCCTTATGAATTCATGTTGTGATATGCAAAAACAAGGAAACATCAGATTCGCAGTCCAAGATGGCAGCTGCCCAGAAGTCTTACAGAAAATAGTCTATAGTGAAGATGATTTTGCTCTGTTGTAAAATAGGTATGTAAAATCCAAGTACTGCTATAACAGGCTTCTATGTAAACATTGAATGGGTCTGTTATAGCTGGAGGGAATTACCAGTCGTAAACACATTCATTCACAGTGGTGACATAAAAAAAAAAGAATTTTTTTAATATCACATTTTCAATTTTTGTAGCCTCTTTTCTATCTGGTTCCAGAACATCTTCACTAAAAACTACATAGAAATGCTGTAAAAAGGTTTTGTGCCTGCCGAAGTGGTGAAAATTACTGCAGAAGTAGCTAAAAAAATATGGGTTTTTAACGGAATCATGGCTTTGCTACTAAGAGCCTTGGTGTGCGTGTCTCTGTGCTTTCGTACGGAGGCATGCACGTAAATCCTAGGGCTAGGCTATCCGCTAGGGCTCCGCAGCAGCAATACCGGGCGCCACCATTTTGGGCTCGTCGTAAGGGTGCAGCGCCTAGAAATACTGCATGTCAGCGCTACAAAACGCAAGATAAAGCTCCTCTTTTCAGCTACAAGCGCGAAAAAGGCAGATATTTGAAATTCATTTCAAGGTCTCCAATTGGCTGCTTCCTCCGTGTAGCTCAAGCAAGCCTCGCCATTGGCTCGATGCTCGCTCTCGTATATAGCCTCGTCTGGTTGTGCGTCGGGAGGTCACGGTTGTCAAAAATTGCGCTACTTAGACACGTTTTCACATTCTTTCTGTGTTCACGGGTCGACGATATCTAGAATAGAGTTATGCTTTAGCTCAGTAATCAGATTACGATAGCGCGCCGCACCCGTTGTGAACATCAATCCGCTGTTGGTACTGCCCATCGGCACTTCGCACATTGTGACGAAAACCGCCACGAGACAACTCTTTGTGCTCGCGATCGAGCATCACATCGAATCATGAAGCACCGCAGCCACGCACATCGCAACCAAGTCTTTTGCTTTGAAGTCGTGGCTACACTCCAAACCTTTTTGAATTTCGTTTCTTCATATAAATCTCCTGTAAAGGAAACCTGGCCGCCATGCAAGCCTCTCATTTTAGTCAGTTATATCTGAATATCCGTTGTACCAAAATCCGTAGTAAACATTTAACCGATGTAACAAATAGGGGGGAAGTGATTCTTCAATGAAAAGAAGAGAAAAGTGAGCCTCGTAACTGTCTCTCAGGAGAAGAACACCTCAACAGTAGCTTATGAGGGGTTGGGGTAAGGGAAGATTAAAAGAATAAGATTAAAATGTAGAGAGATAGAGAGAGGGGGAAGGAGAGAGCGTGGGGGAGGGGAAGCGACATCTGAAAGTAAGGAGAAAATAGGAAAGATGGAGACGGTCGCAGGAGTCCGAGGACGGGGCTCCACTCGACGAGAGCTCTTGTCGGCGTCAGGAGACAGCGTAGGGCGAGCCCAGTCGGCCAGAGCTGCGTTGTCGTCGGAAATCTCGGGGGGGCACAGCCGAGTCGGCACGAAATCCAGAGAGCGAGAAAAAAATGGAGAGGTCGCCATAACGCCGCCAATTGGTATGTAGTGTATCCAAACGTCTGTTGTAAGCAGATCCGTTGTTACGAAGTTTTAACTAGTGTACAATTTTATTAGTTGAGTAACTTATAGCTTTTCTGCGTGCTAGATGTCCATTTGTCACCAACCTTTCTGTTATTGGACACTCTTAATGGGACATTAAAGAGTAGAACGCTTTTTGGCGTACTAGTAAAGTACAATTCACAATTTTGAAAATAGCACTCATACCGTGACATAATGCTTGGTAAGCAAGAAAACGCATAAAAATAAATTGTGGATGGAAACGCCAGTCACCTTGATATTCCCGCACCAAACTTGACGTCATCAAGTTTTGAAGGCGTCTACTGGGTCCAACGTAGATTCTAATCGATAAAATTAAACTAGATTCTAATTTGGGGGTGCCATAAATTTAGCATACGAAGTCTCAGAAAATTTTATTAAGCCAATGTTGTAAAAATACGAAAAATACATTGTAGAACTTGCTACATTTCGCGTGGAGATCACGGCACGAAATTTAAAAATTGAAACTTCAACCTTGATTTTCTCTGCTAATAATAAACTTATAACAGGGAAACTTTTGACATTGGAGTTCTCAGAGTGCAGTTGATCAATCTCGGAACAACTCATGGCTTCTCCTTGGAGCCCCTTGAAATTCCTGGTTGCACAGTAAGAGATTTAGCGGTAAAGTAAATGTGTTATTGAAAACAGTCAATATAAGTGCCTACCATCTACAAAGTTTATGCATTTTCTGGAAAAACAGGCTCTGCTAAAAAGAAATAAATTCCGGCAGATTCTATAAATTTTAGGTATTGATCTGATGCAAAATTTAGTTTTATTATGAGCCACATGTTACAACGTAGATCGACGTCCTTCGGTAAATTGTGTAGTAGTTGGATTAAGCCGAGCGTTACTACGTGGATCGACGTGATTAGGTAAATTGCACAGTTTGCAGACATATTGAGAGACATATTGCGGTCATATTGCCACTCAAGCCCTAAAGAAGTGTGTAGCTGGGTAGCCTACCTTGTTTCTCCTTAGTGTTCTCTTTTTTCTTTTTTTATCTTCTTGTCTCTGCTTAGTTATATTTCTTTCTTCCTCTCTCTACTGATTTCTATTTCCTATCTTTGTTTCCTTTTCTGACTTTCACTCATTCTTGCTTTCCGTTTTTCTATGAATATGAAGAGGACAATAAGAGCATATGCCGATTTATGGTGATCATTTTTGTTCGCGACTAATGCAGTTTCTTCGAGCTTCGAGAGAGGCGCTATTCAAAGGTCTGTTGATCAACGCGTTTTCTTTTTCATTCGAGCACACTTGAATGCATGGCAAGGAACCAGGTGACCCACTTAGGAGTGCTCACTACAAACCTCTCGAGTGGTTCCAACCCGTCTCGCGGGAAGTAGTAGTCTGATCGTGGCGAACAAGTCATGCCGCTGGTTCTTTGCAGCCGACTCTGAATAAATGAAGCCCTGTTGTGAAAGAGAAAATTACAGTGAAAATCGCACCCATTAGATACACTGTGTAAATCAAATGCCAGAGTGTTTGCATTCGCTTGCTGCCACAACGAACTGAATGCCAGTGCGATTTAGTGTTTTGTGCTGATTTCACGTAGTTATTTAGGTTCTACTGCTTTCTGATATTTGGATTTCACACAAATAAAAACTTTGTGAATGTTTGCTACATGCCTTATATGTTTTATACACTTTTTGTCACGACTGGTTAAATTTCTTGCAGATTCATCGTGACTAACAGCAGGACTGAAGCTGTATTCACACAATGAATCAAATCGCAATTCGAGCCTCCAAATTGCGTACAACGTCACGGTACATCAGCTGTTCCCGCATTTACGCTTCATTTGGCGTGGACCAATTCGTGAAACTATGGAAGCCCAAATCGCTCTTGGGATTCTCGGGGACCAATGCCGAAATCCTCGCTTGTGGCATGAATTCTCCCGTCGTGTGTATTCTGGCAGCTGAGGGATCCGAAATACATCACATGTCACGTGACTAATTTGTCAGTGATCACATCCATCGTGAGAATAAAGCTTAACACTGACAAAACTGAGAATGGGACACGCAGCACAATGCCACTTTTCAACTTGATTGTTTTATAAAAAAAAATGTGATTGTAAATACTCTAACTGAAGATGTCATGACCATCTCGACCATATTTGGCCCAGGCTGGGCTGGTCACGAGGTCTTCAGTTTGTCTACTTATGCTCTCTTCTTGGTTCAATAAAACTTGTCGAATATCAGCGCTGTGCCCTGTGTCTCGATCTCACCTTCGTTAGTGTCATTCATGCTGCTAGCCACTATGAATTTATACCAACTCGCTCCGTACTTCATCCTGCTTAACATTTAGGGTAGTAAAAAAGTTATCCTGGACTGGCTAACCTCCATACCTTTCCTTCCCTACCATCTCTTTTCTCTCTTGCGGATTTGCAGCCCTCTTATGATTGCTACAAGTTAAGCATAATGCACGTTTTTTTTGTCTTCATAAACTAGCACCCACAGAGCTTTTCGTGAAATAAAGTTTGTTCTACACTCATAGCTCGATATAATGAACCCAGATATAACAAAATATTGGTAATAATGAGGTTAATAAAAAACAGTCTTGCAATAGTTGTAGTGTCAAAAATATACATTTATAACGAATTTTCGGTTATAACAAACCTATTTTTGAATAAGATGTAACTTTGTTATAATGGGGTTTGAGTGTATTTCATTTCATTGCAATAAAAACAATGGCATGAGGCCCATAATTTACACTCAAAATTAAGATATATGTTAAAATAGCTTACGTTTACCCCCTTTTATTATTTGCCAAGTGTGACCATTTAACAAGAGTGTGGTAGCGTTGTAGAGTTGGAAGATGTGTGTACATGCACTATAAACTTTTGGCACTGGTGCACAATATTTGCATTTACATTCTCACCGGCTTGAGTGCATTTACTCTGACTCCACTTGCGGCCCATTCGATCGATAACGAGCGCGTCAGGTTTTCCACACCAGCTCTGGCCGCTCCCGATGGCCTGTCGGAGAGAACGCATTTTGCAACCAGAAGCTACCCAAACTGCCTTAAAAGTCTACCTACGCCACCATCGGAAATCCACGAGAGTTTTCGATTATCACATTCACAATGGCTCCTCCATGTTTCTCCATCCACCGCTGATAAGCTGAAATGAAAGCATCCTAGCAAGTTAATGGGAACAGCGCTTCACTGTGGCAATGTAGCGTGACCACACTGAAACCACAAGCGTGGCTAAAAAAAGCTGGTTCTTATGTTACTCAAAATTAGAAAAAAATTTGAAATTAAAGCACAAAAATCGATGCACTCACACACTCATAAAATGTGTACTCGCTCTGTGTGTGAGAAAGAGATGAGATACATGTTAGGAGATGAGATACATGTTAGATACATGTTAGATACATTGAAAGCTTTCTTATTATCACCTTGAACTGATATATTATGCACACTGTGTAGACTAGTGTAAGGGCTATAAAACTTTCTTAAACAGTTGTGATGACAAGTGGCCCATAGCTAGAACCAAACACCTTGGTCTTGTTCATGTAACTCAAGCTACAAGTATTGAGTCCACCCCATTCCTACGCATTTGCCCACCAACAAAAAACTGAATGTTATCCTTTTCGTAATAGTTTCGTTAGTTTATTTACACATGCTTTTCGTCTTTGTGGACAACTTGATGTTTAGGGCCATCGGTCGCTTGGGAAACTTGTTATACCTAAATTCCTCACAATCAAATCAGATGACACCCCAAGCCGTGAACAATAGGTTAACAAACAAACGAATCGTAATGATGCCCTCCAAATTCGTCTGGTAGGAGTCATTGCATTGGAATCGATCTTCTCTCACAATTTTTAGACTCTTAAATAGGAGGTACAGCCCTTACACATGTTTACACTGCATATGCATAAACTAACTAAAATTTAGATTGTAAGTGGATTTCTACCAAAGCACTCAGTGGATTTTCTTCTTGTGGGTCCTAGAAAAAGACTGTTATATACGCATGTCTATTCAGATTTTATACAAGATCACCTTTGTTGCCATAAAATTTGGAAGACCCCTATGCTTCACCTTTAAGAGTTAAACGCGATAGTGATATCCTGTCCCTAGTGCGTACTGATTCCAAAATGGCTTGTGTCAGTGAGCTTTCGCATACAGCTGCATTCTGTGTAATGGTTAGCATGGTTTAAATCACGGGCAATTGTGTGCGTGAAATATTGTTGTACTTGCTGTGCACTGTTATGCCAGCGAGTCCCCGTCAAACGTCCGTGCCTCGGAAAAAGGCAATCTGGGTCAAGGCCAGCCCGCAGTCCGCCTGACGCGAACATCTCAACGGCGTGAACACGCGCGGCGCCTCTCTCGCCCACGTGCATTGAGTCAGCGGCGCACGTGACAGCGAGCCGGCGTTCTCGTGTCTGGTGGTCTGACGCATGGCGCGGCAACCCCATTGGAAGAATCTGCCCTGACGACCAGCGGCGCTTCTGATTGGACATTTTGGTTGGACCCGGTGTAAATAAAAGAAGCCCTGCGGCGCGTCGCGATCGGCAGTCCTGAGAGAGGAGTCCCCATGTCGGAGAGCCGACATGTGTATGAGTCAGCGGTCTTAGGCGAAAGGCTGACCTATGTGTTAGAGAGGAGAGCTCGGCTCTTCGAGTCTCTGTCGGCCCCAGTGCCGAAATTGTAACGCCTCTGTATATATGCTGTACATAAACCTTGTTTAACTCACCGTCGTCTCGTCCGCTCGTCTTATCAGCTCTGCGCAGAAGCAGTCGCGAGCTGAGAAACATACGCTACCAAACGGCTGGTGACCTTCCCGGCGGAGTTGAAAGCAGTGGCGCCTTCGAGGCCGTGTTGGCGTCCCCGTCTTTCGCAACAGTGGTGGCTTCGGCGGGATCGGTCCGTCGTCTACGCAACAGTGGTGGCAGCGGTGGGATTTCGGAGGTGGCTTCGCAACAGTGGTTGACAGCTGCGGGATCGGCCGGCGTCAGCGACATCGATGCGGTGAGTGCCTGATGTTTTCCCCTCAGTTCACCAGACTACTCTAGCTCAGGTTGTAGTAGTTTAGAGAAGGGCTGTGTGAAGCATTAGAGTGAACTTTGATCGTTTCAAGCAAAGTCGAAGTGTTTTGAAACCAAAGTTAATGCGGAGGGGGTAAACACGGGAGAGTGAAAAATTGCTTGCGCGTCTTGCTAGTTGACTTATAGTGGGTACGGCAAGTAAATTGTTAACAGGGGCAAACAGCAAGAGGCTAGTGTGAACGATGAAGAACCTTAAAGTGAAGGAACTCGTCGAAATTTGTGAGGAACTCGGCATTACTTTGGGCCGTGCGAAACGAAAGCAAGCGATCCTTGAGATCATGAAGGATGAGGGAGTGTCGGCTGAGGAAGTCGATGAGGCCTGGGTGGATATTAAAGCACGCCGTGAGGAGGCTGAAAGGCGAGAAGTAGAAGCTCGCGAACGTGAGGAGGCTGATAGCGCGAAGCCCGCGAAGAAGCTGAAAGGCGCGAACGTCGCGAGCGCGAGGAGGCCGAGAGACAAGAGCGCCTAGAGTTGAAACGACTAGAATTGGCAATCCTACAGTGTTCGCAGGCGCCTAGCGTAGCTTCTCCGACGATTCAGGTCAGCGGTTTTAGAATTCGGGCCAACTGCCACCGTTCGTAGTAGGCGAGGACATGGCGAAGTATCTCGTCAAGTTTGAACACGTCTGTGAGCGAAACGCTTTGGAGCGGCCTCTTTGGGCGCGGAACCTGCTAGCTCTTCTTCCCGGCGAAGTGTCCGACGCGATAACTTGCTTGTCGAGGGAAGCGTTTGAGAGCTATGACGAGGTTAAGGAAGTGCTCTTGAGACGTTATAAGTTGTCACCCGAGGCTTTCAGGCAAAGGTTCCGGTATGCTGAAAAGGGGAATGAGTCACACGTTGACTTCGCGTTTCGTCTTAAGGCCGATTTAATTGAATGGCTTAAGGGCGAAGGTGTTTATGACGACCGCGATAAAGTGGTGGAATGCGTTGCATTGGAGCAATTCTACCGCTGCATCGAGGATAATGTCAGGCTTTGGCTGCAGGACAGACTTAGGGACGTACAGTTAAACAAGGCAGCTGAGTTAGCTGAGGAGTATTATACTCGCCGAAAGTTGCATAGCAGGGCAGTGCGCGTTGAAAAGGGTGAAAGGAAAGAGGGCTTTTCAAGGAAACCTGATCAACGGAAACCCGTTCCGCACCGTAATTTCAAAAAGGACCCGTCTCTTACGAAGGACAGTGTAGGGGAAGGGCAAACAGAAGCGGAGAAATTGAGTGAGGTTTCTACCACACAGGCATTTGAATCGGAAAACAAACGGAAGCCGCTAATCTGCTACAACTGCAAAAAGGAAGGGCACATCGCGAGAAACTGTCAGGAAAAGTTTGCTTTCGCAACGATCCGAGAATCAGAAAAAAACATTCGGTTGTTGGAGCCGTATCTCCAATAAGTTAGGGTGAATGAGAAAACGTGCCGAGCACTTAGAGACTCAGCGGCAACCATGGACGTTGTCCATCCTTCATTGGTGTCTCCGGATGACTTCACAGGAGAATGCGCGTGGATCAGGCAGGTCGCCGAGGAGCAGAGTGTTCGCTTACCAATCGCCACGGTTGTCATTAAAGGCCCGTTCGGTGAGCTTCGCACCGAAGCGGCTGTGTCTGCCGCGCTGAACGATCGTTTTCCTTATCTTTTCTCCAACAACTCGGAGCAGCTCCTCAAAGAGCAGGGCAAATCGTTCTTTCCCAACTTTGCGTGCATGGCCCTCACGCGATCGCAAGCGCGAAAGCTTTCGCGGAGGCTGGACCTGGTTCCAGGTGGTGAACTCTCAAGTGACCTTGTCGGCGGGTCGACGGAACCCCAGAAAGGAAAGTTTCCGCATGAGTCATGTGAGCAGTCACGCGAGCGGCCCGTCGCCGAACCTAGCTGCGCGGTTTCCGGAGAAAGGGGAGACGACATGGCGCCATTGGATCAGAGGGAGAGGGCTGCAACGCTTTCGCCTGTAGCGGAAAGTTGGAGCGAGCTGCCGAGAGTTGATCGAGAGCTAGGAGGATATATATAAAAAAATTGCTGGAGTGGAAGCCGCCTATACTTACCCATAGAGCACAGTGAAGCCGGCGGCGGCCATCTTGTGGTGGGCAGGAAGGCGGCCGCGTAGCATATAGTGCACTTCCGCGGCCGTTTTTTTTTCGCAAATGATTGCTGCTAGAGAAGTAAAAACGTGCTCACATAGTCGCCGATACACTGGCAGTATTTAAAGAGACTACAGAACGGTTCGTTTTTCATGTGTTAAAATTTTATTTGTACAGCTTTCTCAGCCTTTAGCCAACATGAACGTTATGGCAAAGTTGTTTCACTGATTCCTAAAAATGACGAGTCTTGAAAGCAAAGACCTAACTTTGTCTTTCACGAGTTCCCGGCTTCGTTCCTTGTCATGTGGTGCAGCCTGATCTTGATGTACAGCTCCAATACTTGCTTGCTCAAGTTGTAAATATGGTTGTCCAACACGTCGACGTCAAAAAGATGTTGTTCCAATTGTGAAAACCACCTCTTTTCCAGTGATTGACTCAAAATCTCCAGGACTAGTTGTTTGGTATTGGCATGTATGTTCTTAAGGCATTGAGTGGAAGCCTGCAGTCGACGCAGCCCCTTTTCCGCTGTTTCGCACAGTGACACAACGTCTTCGGAAGGGTAAAAGAGTCCACCTCGATTTTTTTGTCTCACCAATAGAGATGTATCCGCTCCATGAAGAGCTTCTATGCACAACTCACAGGTGTTTGTAGTAGCGATTTTGCGAGCGACAAAGCCTGCAATGTAAGGCACGACAGAGCAAACGAATGTGGAGAGGCTCTCTGGATAGTCAATTCGGTCTGTGTAATCGTGGTCCTCTGGTTGTAGGATGGCACACCTTCGCGATGTGACCTCAGTGGTTGCACAAAATGTAGTGGCAGAGGCAGATGCACCCAGAATAGAAACAATATCTTGCGAACAGTTGCCTGAGGTGGACGATCTCACTTCTGTCTGGACCAATAGACGCTTGTAAGCTGCCATGAATTGGGCAGCTGTAGGGTTGTTGTTGAACCCCCCACGTCCTCGCACACAGCCAAAGAAAGTTTCTGCGTGATCTTGACTCATCTTGT